TAATTATACAATACATGGGTCTTATCCTAATCTAGTCTATAGGTGTAGGTCTCCACACTTTCAGCATAGAATATTGCAGCAGCTCCTTGATTTCCTACTATAATATAGAATTCCATACGATCATCGTAAGAGTACAGATTGATACTCCATCCTTCACCTGACAAGCTTAGGCTAGGCATTATGATTTTCTGAAAAGGTTAGCAACACAAATAAAACATGAGAAAATTTCTCAGTAATATTGAGGTTCCTTTTTTTTTTTAACTATAACCATTTCCAGCTGTAGTAACAAAAAATATCATTCTCTCAATTAATAGAAAAATGAAACAGCAGTAGAATAATAATAAACACTACACTGTATAATATTTAACTGAAGCTATTTAAATACCTAATTTATGTGGGTCTCCTGCATGTGAAAAGTTCTGTATGGCGGAGCTCAAACCATGATAAGGCGTCCCTTACCCTTTAACTATCTAATCCCAAATTTTATGAATCAGTTCACAGCAGTATCTTACAGTTAAAATTACACATTCTTTTAATATTTATTTGGTACCAAATAACTCGTCAATCAGTAATCAACTATTTAAAAAAAATAAGATCTTAGGACTAATTAATAATAAAGCTAAAGATATGAGTAAAATCAAGTAGAAAGGAAATTCAAGAAAGGAATTTGACAAAATAATAGTACCGTTAAAATTTTCAAAAGAATAGTGAAAAGAGAAAATGAGAGAAAGTTTTTATCTCTCAATATTACCTTTCTTCCTTCTTTTTCTTTTTTTCCTTCTCTTCTCTTTCGCTACTGTCTCTCCCTTTCTACCTCTGATACTCTATTTTTCCCTTCGTCAGTTAACAACCCCACTTTCATATATATATATATATATATATATATATATATATATATATATATATAGGCAATCAAATTGACTCCTTTTTGACTTAGCTCATCATTACATATATTTAGATTCTAATCAAATTAACTAACTTCTTTCAAATCTAACTATCCTTTAACAAAAGCATTCATTAAGAATCTTATTACATCTATCTCATCTTCCACGTTGCCTCTTCTAGATTAGTCCTTATTGTACTTTTATTTTATTTTATTTGGTGTATATAAGGATAACTATAATATTGTTATAGTTTTATAATAAAGTAATATTGGTATTATATATCACGTAATCTTTTATTGCATATAATAGATGACTTATATATATACAATGTTATACTTTTTTGTGTTATTTACTTTTAGTTAAATTATTATAATACAAATAACAATATTGTTTATTGAATACTTATAATATTTACTTTTTAATATTTATTTACTACTATGTTATTTTATTTTATTTTATTTTTATTATATTGTTTTTTTTGTTTTTTTATTATTTTATTTATTTATTTTAATATTTAATTACTTATTTCTTTATTATTACTATTATTTATTATTATTATTATTAACATATATATGTAAACATATATATATGCTAATCAGCGCTTCATTGTGCGCTTTCTTCCTTGGAGGATTCACGTTGCAAGCGCAGCCCATGCGTTGCAAACGTGAGCGTTTTTTTTTTTTTGTACTTTTTTTTTTAAATATTACAGTTAATGTCGTCGCTAATCTATTTAGTGACGGGAAAATTTCCTTTAGTAACAAAATTCTTCCATCCTAATTAAATTTTTAGTAATAATATTAATTAGAGAAATATTAATTTTAGCTTTTAGGTAAGATGCTTGTTTAAAATATAATAATTAAAATTTTCTGGCGAATAAAATACAATTGATATTAATGTATAATTGTTAATGGTGGCAAAACAGACTCGGCTCGGCGGGTCAACCCGCCCAACCCGTCAAACGGGGTAGGGCGGACTGAGTTATTCAACCCATCTGAAAAGCGGGGCGGGACGGGCTCATTTTTTGGCGGGTTTATGGCGGGCATAGGTGGGTCAAGGCGGGTCAGAGTAAAATAGGCTCGGGCAAGCGGACCAACCCGCCAAACGGGGCGGGGCGGGCTGAGTTTTTTAGCCCACTTTCAAAAGCGGGGCGGGCTGGCTCATTTTTTGGCGGGTTGATGGCGGGGTGGGGCGGGGCTGGCCGCCCACTTTGCCACCTCTACCTGCGATGCACGAACACGGACACGGGACACGACACGCCGACACGTTAATTCTAAAAAATGTCATATTTTGATATGTTGGGACATGTTTTGATATTAAATAAAAATTTTAATATATATAATATAATTTATATTTAATACATATAAGAGTACATAATAAGTCATATAATAAGTCATATAATCAATCAAATATTTAAATTTCATAACATAAATATAAATATAAATAATTTTTCGTACTTTGTTAATTTTTCATGTCAAATTTCATAACAGAAAAAAATTAATTTATAAATTATTTCTTTTATATTTAGTTAACAAAATAAAATTAAGATTTAAAAATTAAAAAAAAAAAAACGTGTCCGAGTATTGACCGCGTGTCCGAAAAAGTTGACCGCGTGTCGGAAAAACGTGTCAGAACGTGTCCTAGAGTTGATCGCGTGTCCCCAAATGTTGACCGCATGTCTCACACAAATTTTCAGAAAAAGACCATGTCCGTGCTATATAGTTGATGACATGGAAAAAAGGGAGAAAAAAAAAATGGAACGTGATAATGAGAATGATGAGTTACATAAAAATAAAAAAAATTATATGCAACTAACATTCATCATTGAAGACATCAGATTCTATTGAGCATAGAAGATGTCATTAGTTTTTGTTTTTTGTTTTTTAAAAAAAAGAACTGGATAGAACTTGTCATGAATTGCAATACTGGTTTCAACTTGTCATGAATTGTATTACTGGTGTCTCCAATAAAGTTATTCTGGATGATAGTTGAATTGATCCCATTGTTCCCTCTTGTGGGCTTAGGCAATGGAATGAATCCCCTCTCCTTCTATATTTTCATCTTTGCCTTGAAGAATTTTTATTTTTTATTAGTGATAAATGTGCCAAAGGTTACTTTGCGCGACATGATCGAGAGTAGCAAACACCGTACCTACTTATTATACCTATTTCGTGCTGATGACGAATCCTGATTGCTAAATCTAGAATGTATTTTGCTAAAAAAAACGTTATATCTCATGAATTCAGGAATGACCAGAATCAGATTCTTGGTATTATTAACCATAGGGGCAGTAATGGGAAATGCTTGGGGTGTGTGATTTCAAGACTAAATATACCTAAAGAATTTTTGATAGTATTGTGGACAAAGTGCACTAGAGGGTCAAAGATTTGAGGGAATATTTTTGTACTCAACTAGAAGGATGACCCTCATTTATTTATTCTATCCTTTCTGTCATCCCTTCTTACCACATCTCTGTGTCTCTTCTTCCAATGAGAATAAGTTACTTCATTGATGGGGTGAATAGAAACTTCCTCCGGAAGGGAGCAAATGATTCCCATAAACTTTCCCTTGTAAGGTAAGGTGGGATAAGGTTACTAAAAGCAAATCTTGGGGAGGACTTGGGATTATGGTGTCTCCTTTCTCACTTGCCATTTGCCAAGTTTGGATAGGATGTCCTTAACCAAGAGAAGTGCCTTTAAGTAGAAGCTCTCTCTAGGAGGTATATCTATCCTCTGAAGAGAATATTAGTTTGGGCATTGGGATTGCTCCCATAACTTGAAGGCTATTGTATTAGGGGCAATCCCAAAATCATTCAAATTGGGTTGCTTGTCATGAAGATTCTATTTTCTTATCGTTTGACATTTGGGCTGGTTAAGCCAGGTCTTTAAGAAGACTTATTCATGGCCCATTTATCTTATGGGTATAGTAGGAAATAGGTATAGTGCTATCAAACTTTGTCATTGAATATAAAAAGAAGATAAATATAAAATTTACATAAAAAATACATGCAGATGATGATATAAAAAAAACTTCATCCAAGACTGTAATTAATGCTCCTTTGGTCTCCCCACTGCGAAGTAGTAGTGCCTTGGCTATTTCCTTTGGATCTTGATGCATGTGAAAATATATATATACATTGATCATGTGAAAAATCATAATCATACAAAGGTGGATAAATAGTAATAAAGAAAGAAAGAAAAAAATATTGAAATATATAGTTACAAAATTATAAACATTGATTTACCTTTGTATGATTATGATGTTCCCACATAATCATGTCATTTTTTTTTCACATGAAATGATCAATTTCCATCTCCTTTAGGTTGGATGCGACCCTGAAATCAACAACACTTTTTGGTTAATTTCAAGATAGACGACTTGCCGAAGAATTTTAATATATTTTTGGAAAATATATTTTTTATCATGCAACTCATGAAAAAGTAGGTGGAACCTACTAAGAAAAAGAGAGAGGAAAGAAAAAAAACAAGTCTCACCCTTTTTTTGTCGTAAAATTATCTCATATAATATGATAAACATATTTCCGTGAAACAATTTTAAACAATTTTAATTTAATGCCGTAACGAAGATACAGATAAAAATTTGATTACATAATGATGGCATAGCAAAGTTATAATAAAATTCAACTAAGTTTGCCAAACTTTTCTCATAATCGGGAGCATGATCAAGAAAGTAAAACCCTTGTCTATTGATTCAGATTCATTCATCTATTTGTTGATTCGTTCTTGTAGCACCCTGCAACTGCAAGAACTCTCAGTCACGTGTAGATGGTAATGGTTGCACTTACCAATCCTTACTCTGTCTTATCTTCGAGTCCAAACTCCACCTCATCTACTTACATGACCGTTGACCTTAAATGCACCGAAAGCTACCTCTCGAGTATCACCAACAATATGAGCATTACCAAATCATGATTTTGGGATTTCAAACGTAAATTAAAACACACACGTTATAAGTGGCTCACCTACCCACCTTTCAAACTCGAGACTAAATAATCCAAAGCTTAGTTTTTTGTGCTTAACATTTTAATGTTCACAGACCCTTCTCCTCAAACTTTGAGGTTTGAAGTCTTCCTTTACTCTCTCCTTATTTATGCCATATATGACGCTGTTTGGAGGACTTTCCATTGTGTTCCTCACGTTTGCTCTGTACTGTGGGTTAGACCCCTTCGAGCACAGCCCCATAGCGGGCTTTCCTGATTTTAAGGTGCACAAAGTCGACTTGCCCTCATGGTCTGAGGTTCCTACAGAACGAGACAAAGACAATTTGTTGCAAAAATCGGAGCTCATGTTTGTGAACCAAGTACAAGGACCAGAAAGCATTGCCTTTGATCCTCTTGGTCGTGGCCCTTACACTGGTGTCGCTGATGGAAGGATTTTGTTTTGGAATGGACAATCTTGGACTGATTTTGCATACACCTCCCCCAACAGGTCACACTTCTCTTCATTTTCCTCCCTTTACCAACTTAACTGCTAAATACTTTATGATTTAATTTGTGCTATGAATATAGTTATATCTTAATAGTGCAAGCTTAGTAGGAGATTTATATGGCTAAAACTTACTATGTTCTAGTACCAACTTAGTGCTAAGATTATGCTCATTTGTCACCACTCAAGACATCTTCAGTATTAATGTACTACACGTAGTTCCAGGCTATGACTAGTAGAAATGAAAAATGAAACGGATGGAAGATAAAATCTAATTATGATTATAGCATTATTATAAGGTTTGCTTTTTCTGCAGTAAGTTATCTGTAGTAAGCCTAATACGATGTCGTTTTGAGGCGAAAATCATGGTGTTTTTGTAATTTTAATTTATTTCAGGATTATTATAGTCTTTATAATTACGATTATTTAATTTTTCAATCTCAAAACGACGTCGTTTTGAGAGTAAATACAGATAATTTATCTGCCGTAATTGCAGAAATATTATTCTGCTATTATAATGGGAAATGTTTGAATGTGAGAAAACTAATGATTATTTCGTGTTGACTTCTGACTTCATCTGTATTGTAGCTATATACATATGCAACATCACATGATGATATTTAGTGTATATTTTTTCTCAACACAGGTCAGAACTATGTAATCCTAAGGCATCTGCATCACCACCTAGTTATGTCGAGACTGAGCACATCTGTGGAAGGCCTTTGGGACTCAGATTTGACAAGAAAACTGGTGATTTATACATCGCAGATGCATATTTTGGGCTGATGAAGGTGGGGCCTCAGGGTGGTTTAGCAACATCTCTTGCAACTGAGGCTGAAGGGGTGGCCTTGAGATTTACTAATGATGTAGACATTGATACAGAGGGGAACATTTATTTTACAGATAGCAGCACTAAATATCAAAGAAGGTAGGCTTAAGTCATTCATCTTTTACATGTTGATACTGCACCTCTTAATATTGTCATCATTTTGAATGTATGAGAAGTTATAAACTAAAGCTGGGGTTGCCACTTACTTACTTTGGAATGTTAAGCCTCCTTATTTTGCTATGCTGTGTACTCTTAGAATGAAGGGAAATTTATTACAACCTGTTAATACAATGGTGACATGCGGGTTGGTTGGTGACTGCCATAAAGACAACTGAAATGAAACCAATGTCTAGAGTGAGTGAGTTATATGGTTCTTTCTCTTTCCACAAGAGATGCAGTGAAGAAAAATGGTACGTTGTTTGTGTAAAATGTATGTTGTTGGAATGGTATGGGGAACCCAAAATCCTTTGAATGACACTTTAACTAATGGGCTAAACAAACCAATGTGAGACTTCCCCCTCACACTTGAATTTTATTTCCAACAAATGTGTTATAGTGGCCAATATTTCAACTGGAACAAGTACTTGAGCAGATATAGTGACTCCCGTGGTGCAGTTCTGATTTAGTAATAACTCCTATATCTCTAGCGTTTGTGCTTAAACAAGCTCTTTGTTTGCATGGCATTCTTGGTTGATGGGAATAAACCTATTATTCATCAAAATAGTGCAGTCATTAGGCCTCTGGTATATAAAAAAATTGTCTTAAAAGATCTTTAGCTTAGAATTCTGGAATACTGATCTTGTATTCTTATCCTGGCTTGGTTTGTTGGTTCTGACATAATTCTGCATGCAGGAATTTCATTCAGCTGGTATTCTCTGGTGAGGGTAGTGGCAGGGTTTTGAAATACAACCGTGTCACTAAGGAAACCACTGTTCTTGTGAGGAACGTTCAATTTCCAAATGGCATTTCCTTAAGCAAAGATGGTTCCTTTTTGGTCTTTTCTGAAGGGGCTGTTGGAAGGTGGGTAGAATAATCACATAACCCTTTTCTATTTTATTTTATTTTTAATGTATTTAAGTCCCTTTGCGGAGAGTCTTTTCTACATGTGAGCCAAGTGTAGTGCAAGAGTCTGCTTGATGAAGGATCTCATTGCCCGAATTCTTATTTACCTATGGTCCAACACTACTAGATCTTTCTACTTTGGAAACTATACTAATTCGGTTTATTGTTTTGGCTATTGTTGTTGGCAAATATCAATTAAACAATGCCAGTAAATCTTTCTAGTTTGGCTACAAGCCCTTTTCTGGAACTCATGCTAATGTTGTTCATAAAACTACTCTCTTGATAATGTATCTTATTCTATAGGTTACGCAAGTACTGGCTAAAAGGAGATAAAGCTGGGACTTCAGAGATCTTAGCAATCCTACCTGGTTTCCCCGACAATGTGAGAGTCAACGGAAATGGTGACTTTTGGGTGGCTATCCATTGTAGAAGGTATATGTACAGTTACCTTAATGCTCTCTACCCAAAGATGAGAAAAGTTATACTCAAGCTACCTATTCCAACAAGGATTCAATACCTGATTCAAATTGGAGGCAGGTTTCATGCAGTAGTTGTTAAGTATAGCCCTGAAGGTAAACTTCTGCAGATATTGGAGGACAGTGAGGGAAAAGTTGTTAAAGCAGTTAGTGAAGTGGAGGAAAAGGATGGTAAACTCTGGATGGGAAGTGTTCTGATGCCTCTTATTGCGGTTTACAACTTGACATGAAGCCAAAAAAAAAATTAGATTCTGCCCATAGCAGCCACTCAAGGCAAGTCACTTCCTTCTTGTTATAATCCTCATAAATCTTATTTATGCTCATTCAAAGCTTGGGGTCTCTTTAACTACTCTTTCTTCTTGACAAGCAGTTATTTAATACGATGAAAATAACTACAGTATTTCATTTTGTAGGATAAGAAAAACATGCAAGGGCTACTTACTGGCACAAACATATAAAGGACATTCTACTGAAAAAGAAAGAAAGGGTAAACTGAACCTGAGAAAAAGTTTAGTTGCCTGGCCAGGGATGTCATAGTTCAGTAAAGAATCATTTTATTATGATGTTTACATTTCTTAAGCAAAATTACTTATTGAATTGGCACATGTCCAGCAGAAAGGTTCCATACCTGGTTACACAACCTTTCGATTCTACCAGCACAACCACCTTTGAAATTGGAGTAGCAATAGTAATTGAATCTAAATACATATATGCACTATACTGTTATGACGAGTAGACTAGAGAAGCTATTGCGCTTTTGTCCAGGACCAAACGCATGCAAAGAAAACAATGGAGAAAAGAAAAAGAGCAAAACAAAAATGTGGCAAAATCACACCCATAGTAGCTGGCTATCATCCATTCAAGTAAGATGGCCTTCATATTTGACTTTTTACATCTTTTGAGGTTTCTGTGCATCTGCATCAAAGCATGCGCAAGCAGTATGTAAATACATATAGAAGGAAATCAAGCTAAAAATTCAGTATAATAGCAATTAGGCAAATAATAAACAAGAGAAACAGATAAGTTGTCATGCACAAATACAAAAAAAATACATTATTATTTATGCAGTCATTTACTCCACTAAATGAAATCCGATTAATTAGCTAGTGATCCAGTAAGATGACATAAGAAATTATAATCTTACTTTTCTTCAGGAATCTTTCTAGCCAAAAATAAACGATGTGGGCTTCTTCATTGACAAGAGGCGAATTTAGAATGCTGTCCAAAGGTTTCAAGCATCGAGCACGCTGCTTCCAGCAATTTTCCTGCAAGTGACATTCATATAATCAGTTATAAAGTATCACTGAAATATTTAAAAAAAGAAAGAAAGCACCAACCAAACCTTAGATAAACATCTGGTTTATGTAGATTAGCATGTGGTGAAAAGAAATATATGTAAATTCCAAATAGAAAAAAGAATCATTTTACTAGATGACATACATTTTGATATTCTAAGGTTGGAGACAACGATGGTTGAGCTCTCAAGCTTTTTGCTCAAGAGGAAATATATAAATTAATAAATAGTCCACACATGGAAATTAACATAAGATTATTCTAGTTGGAGATTGAATAGCCGGGCAAGCTAATTTTGTCGATCATTACACTTACCATTTGGTTGGCCTATTTTTATCCACACAAAGTAGCAATCTTTGAAGTACTCAATTTTCATGAGAAATACTGAACGTTTTAGGAAGCTAAATTTTATAACTAGGAGAATATCGCATAAATATTTATTTCTGGTTACTATATGCAAGATAATGGATTAACCTCAACCGGTGAGAAGAAAATAAAAAAACATACCACAAATTTCATTATGAGCACCAGCTATATTTTATTGAGTAAACACCCTTTTTGGTCCCTGGCAATATCTACGAAATCCTTTTTAGTCCCTGGCAATAAAAAAGGACCAAATTGGTCTCTATCAGTATGTAAAAAGGGCCACGTTAATGACGGAGGAGTTGATACAAGGACTAATGTGGCCCTTTTTTCATAATTTTAGGGACCAATTTGGTCTTTTTTTATTGCCAGGGACTAAAAAGGATTTCGTAGATATTGCCAGGGACCAAAAAGGGTGTTTACTCTATTTTATTACTCTAAAAAGGTCACATCAAAAGCAATTCAGGAAATTCTCATACCATTCACCCACCCCTTCCCTCCCTCTTCCCCAAATAACATAAAAAAACCCTGGTTTTCTCTCCCTTTTCCTTGTGTAAACCCAGACAATACTAAAGAACCTCAACTTATTTTCAGAAACTTCACTTGACACATGAAAATTTCCAATAGAAAGTGTAAGGCAAAAAAACAAAAAAAATGGCACAATATTGATAGTCATAACAAGCAAAATAACATAATACTTGGATCATAATGTGAAGCAATTCATATTCTCTAGAAATAATAATCCTCATTCATCAACGTCAACAACTCACTCCTGTCCTGGTACTTAACATTTACAAATATAGACATATTCCAAACGCCCAATTGAAGAGACTACTGCATATCTATTACTCAACACACTTCATATCATTTTCTGCCCCCAAAAAGAAGCCAAGGTCACATTGAACACACTCTTAACTCTTCCTCTTACTATCTGAACCCAAAAATAAAAAACAAAGATGTAATGTAATTCCTATTAACAGAAAATCAACCCAGCCAAACACATCACTATCATCTCCTCAACTTTTTTCTTGGAGAAAAAAATAAAAAAATAAAAAAAAACACAAATAACAAAAGCAAGAGTGAAGAAAAGAGCAACGAACCTCTTCTGTGCTTGACCACGACTTTAGCGGGTTGACCCGTCCTGGTAACGGGTTTGACCCGATCTGCTACCTCTTCCTCCAGAGGAAACAGAACCCCATCAATTCCCTGCACCGAGATCCGCCCATCCGTATAGATATCCGGGTCGAACAAATAAGCCGACCCGTCTCCCTGCCCGAATTTAACGGACCCATCAGCCTCCTGAGCCACCACCTTATGCGGCAACCGCAAGGTATCATACCGAACCTTCCCGAACCTTCGAACCGCATTATACATGCTCTCTTCGGTCTGGTACTCCGGTATCAGATGGTAGTACATTATCTGTTCCGGCGCACCCGGTTCGCTCAACTGGTCCGTCGTTAACTTCGCCATAGCCTCGTCGTTCGGAGCTAGAACGGTCAGCAAGTAACCCTCCGATACCAACCGACCCATCTCGGTGGCCAACGACGTCAGATTCACCAGAATATCAGCCATTTCGTTGTATCCACCGTAATGGAGCAGCGTCTGGATGAAATCCTTCACCTGCGCCTCGCCGTTGAAGTGGTGGTGTGGCCCGCCTGGTCCTGGAGCCGGCGCCGGAGCCAGCGATGGACCTGGAGCCATCGCGTCGTAGATCGGAAGCGCCGGAGGCGCACCGAGTTTCGCCGGCGGTGATGGTTTTTTTAGTTTGTTCGTTCTCGGGTCAACCTCCGGCGCACCCTCCGGTTTGACGGCGGTGATTGAGCGGAGGCTCCTCCGGCGGTTGAAGTCGTCCTCGACGGCGCGAGGGACCAGGAGGCGGTCGATTCCGTGGATGATTCCGTCGGGTCGGGTCGTGACATCCGGGTGGGTCACCTTGGCCCGGTGGACGGTCCATTCTGCGGTGGTGGTGACGTTGTTAACGAGGTGGTGGTTAGAGAGTGTGAGGTGTCGGGTTGACCCGGGAGGGTTTTGGGATCCGATTCGGGTGGGGATGATGTGGAACAAGAGCAATGTTTGGAGGGAGTTAAGGTTACCGGGTTCGAGAAGGAAGCGCTTGAAATCAGGGTCGAGATTGCGTTCAAGGGCTTCATTCGTTGGGGCGAAGATGGTGATGTTGTGGGTAGCGACGGTGTCTTCTAGTGTTTGCAAAAGCATGGCCTTTTCAACGAGCTCAGTGAGTTCCGTGTAATGCGAGTCCAGAAGAGCCACTAGAATTGAATTGGAGTTAATCTGACCCGTCTGTGACGAAGAAGATGAAGAGACCCGCAATTTGGAACTTGAGAAGAGGAAAAGAAGAAGAAGAAGAACGCCATAGATGTGGCAATCCATGGCGACTTCAGAGATACAGAGAATGCCGTGAAATGGAATCAACACTTGACTTGAGAGTACTTCATACAGCACACATGTCTTGTGTTGTGTCCAATTACTTTTTTTTTTTTTTTTTTTTTCATGTGGGGTTCCCTTTTGTTTTGTTTTTGTTTGCTGGGTATATAAGAAGCGATATATTTTTTTTATGTAGTAGAAAAAAAGTTATCTCATATTATAGAAATATATAAGTATAAGTGGAAATTACAGATAAAAGAAGAGAGAAAAAAGAGCTTTTATTTGTGTAAAAAAATTATTTATCTTATATAAAATGAGATAACATAACTTATATAGTGATATAACAAATATAATAATAAACACACAGTTACACTTATTGCTCTATTTTTGCAATTTTTATTATTATTTAACTATAATTGATTTTTCTTTTTTTATACATTTACATTCTGACACGAAATGCCAAACACAGGTGTTTTTTTTTTTCTACTATTAACATAGCTGATTGTGTCGGTTGCATTGGGTGACGTGTTTGGATTCGAGAGAAAGGGGAAAATGAGAGACAGTGTAAGAATGGGGTCCAGTTGCCAGCTGTTGGGCAGCTACACAAAGCTGGAACATAAACATTAAACGGTGGTTGGAAAATTAGCTGTGGGTAAGCTCTGTTTAATTAGCAATATATTGTGTAGAGAAGCTGAATGATGTTGCGGATCTTTGCATGATAATAAGCATTTAAGATTATGCCATTCATTGTTGCACCGAAGCAAACCGAGAAGATTCTGCTACTCTTTAATTGATATTGGGGGCGCCCACTTGGCATTGGTGGGTTCTCTTTCCAAATCATTCATTGTCATATGCTTATTTTCCTGAAATAATTGTTGTTACCTATTTGTCCCTTCATTTCATCTCACATTCTACATACATGACACATGAAAATAATAGAGTATAAATTTATTTTCCAAAATAATAATAATAATAATAGAGTGTAAATTTATAAAAGTTTTGGTGAGATAATTACAATAAGACAATGGAGACTGTGTAAATATAAAATTATATATATAAATTTATATTAGGAGAATTATTTAATTAAAAAATACTTCTTAGACGTACTTAAAAGTATATTATCTTACGTTTAAATAAAAATATTTGCACAAATATAATGTGATGTGTACTTAAGTTTGTGTGGGTATTCTATTTATTTTCTACTGTCATGATTATTTTTTTGATACGAGTTCACTCTATGGGTATCCTTGTCAGCTTCAACTCCTTGAATCGGCTATGAGACTATCTTGAATTGGAGTTTAGTCAAAGTTAAAACTCTTCGCCCCTCTCCAAAGATGTATTTAGTGAGAATCAAACTCAGATTCTCTCCTCATCTACTCGGCATGTGTTGTCAACTGAACTATACACATTAGGTTAAGTCTACATCTTTTAAAGTGTAGTAGAAAGAGTTAAAAATAATAATACATGTGTTTTATCTAAGAAAATTGTGATTGTTATTGGATATGAGAATCCATGGTACTTATGGAGAAAATTAATCGCAAATGGTGGTTGGTAAATTATTGTGTTTAAGAGGGGTTAAAAGTCCAATTCGAAAGTGTGTATGCACACTGGGAATAGAAAATGTTAAAGTTTAAAAAGTGTGTACCTTTAAGATTTAAACTTTTATTAATAGAGAGAATTTGTCATTCATGGATAAAGCTCATATATGATAAAGTTTGTGGGATCCATTGTGAGTCCAGAACAACTTATACTATTTGTTTAACCCAGATTAGAGAATTGAGTATTAAGAGTGATAGTATAGTAAAACGAAGTCTCTATATTAATAATTAGAGGTGTTAAATGATGGATTTCACCATGTATTATAAGAGAAAAGGAATAGTGTTTCACATACAATACTCTTCTTCTTTTTTTGGTAAATCACCTACAATACTCTAAGTGTGTATGCAACAGTTAAAGATTTTGCAAAAGCTCTAACATCTTTATCTTAGGGTTTGAATTGTGCAAATATAGGTAAATGTTAAGAAGATTCTATAGTGCATGTAATTGATTAGGTGATTACTACACATGAGTGGGTGTTGTTCATGGGAATAATCACAATGTAGGTAATGAAAGGTGATTGTAACTTATATAAGAGCGGGAAATGAATCACATAAAAAAACCACATCATCAATCCAAAATATTGTTATTTTAGAGAAATATGATATTATAAATGTGACCTTGACAGAAAACTCAATTCACAAAATATAATAGAAGAATAATAACACAAACTATATTAGATTTATTCCTCTGAACATCTCTAGGATACATTTTTTTTAACAGAATACAGAATTACATAAGCATGCATTCGAGAGGCATGTTCTCTCCTTGTTCCCTTAACTTTCTGACTTAGTTCCTATCCTACAATTACAGTTTTCTACTTTTATTTATGGGAAAAGGTGTGTCATTTTAAATGACACATCTTGTGTCCTTTCACTCTCACAAAGAGGTGGGACTTATACTTTTAAAACTGTCGCCTCTCTCTCTCCAATGATCTATCTTTTTCTCTCACTTTAAATGACACAACTTTGTGTCCTTTAAAATGATACACATTTTTTCCTTTATTTATAGATCCATAATTACTATAACCACTATGCAGCAGTTTCTGCATCCACTACTAAGCGGTAAGTTGATAATTGTCTTCCCATCTCTCTATGACAGTTATGACAACAATTGAGAGGATTTATTTTCCCTATACTTTCTCCTAAAATAAACCTTAATAGTAGAAGTTTTCTGATGTCCAACAATACTCCCCCCTGAAACTTTCACCTTGTCCTCAAGGTGAAACTCCAACAAACTGTGTTATGAGAATTGTTGGATTTTCCCAAGAATTCTCAATGTCAGGCAAGTCCTACCATTTGATTAGCACCTCAGTGTTACTGGGTGATTTAGTCTGCATTGTAACACTTTTCTAGTTGAACCTGTAGCTCTTATTCATCATTTAGTATTGGTGGTAATGGCTGAGGAATAACATTTGGGGAAAAAGTTTTCTTCAATAATGAAACATGGAATACATGATGAATTCTGCAGTTGGCTGGCAACTTTAACTTGTAAGAATCCTCTCCTATTTTCTCCAACAGCTTGTAAGGTTCATAAAACCTTGGAGTAAGTTTTTCATTCAACTTCTTAGCCAAGGATTTTAAACTATAAGGTTGCAACTTGAGATAGACTTGATTCCATGGTTCGAATTGCTTATCTCATTTGTGCTGATCAACTTGGACACACATTTTGTTTTGGGCTTGGAGTAAATGATGCTGCAAATCATGTAAAATCTTGTCTCTTTCTGTCAATATCTTTCCCACATTGTCTACATCAACTTGATTAGGGTTGGAGGTTCCATTACAAATCCTTAAAAGGTGTCATTTTAGTAGTTGTTATAATTGGTGTCATACTAATATTCAGCCCAATGAAGCCAAATTGGCCATTGTTTTAGTTTAGGGTTGCAAAAGCATTGAAGATAAGTCTCAAGACAGCTATTAACCACCTCGGTTTGGCCATTTGATTGAGGATGATAGGTTGAACTAAATTTGAGATGAGTCTCCGCTTGTTTAAAAATTTCAGCTCAGAGTTGACTCATAAAAACCCTGTCACGATCAGATACAATAGAGTTTGGAAATCCATTTTTTCAGCCACTTGCTTAGTTATTTAAGGACTACATAAAAGGATGAAGTGGGCATATTTCATTAGTCTATCAACAACAACAAATATAGTATCCGAATTATAAGCCTTGGGTAGGACGCCTATGAAATCCATGGAGATAGCACTCCAGACCTGTGTTAGAATAAGCAAAGGTTGTAGTAAACCTACTGGAGAGTGTTTGAAATTTATTTTGTTGACAAACATCACAAGTTGCTACATAGTCCTGTATATCTTTTTTCATTTTTTCCAAATAAAAGTCCAACTATTCTTTTATATGTGCAAAAAAATCCAAAATAACCCCCTACTATAAAATCTTGAAATTCTTTGAGAATGAGATTAACCTATCTAGAGGATTTAGGTATAACTAACATGCCTTTATATAATAACCTCCCTCCGTGTAAATGAAAGCCTATCTGAACATCTGAATCAATGAAAAATTATTGGAGCATAGTTTTGTATTTGTCATGTTGCTGCAACTCTCTTTGTAATTCATCTGCATCAAGAAACGCAACATTTGTATTGGAAATCAATGTCATGCACCGAGACAAAGCATTTGCAACTCTATTTTCTCTTCCTGGCGTATACTGAACTTCAAAATTAAATCCAATGAGTTTGGTGGTCTATTTTTGCTGTTCTTCACCCAACAATTTTTTATAATTGAGAAACTTTAATCTTCATTGATCAATTTTGATGATAAAATGTCTTCCTCTTAGATATGGCCTCTATTTTTGAACTGCTAAAACTACAGCAATCAACTCATTTTCATAAGCTGACTTCAATTGGGCTTGATTAGATAATGCTTGACTCATGAAAGTAATTGGTCTACCCTCCTGCATTACAATTGCCCTAATCCCTTTTCCAGAGGCATCTGCCTCAATAACAAAAGTTTTCTCAAAATTAGGGAAACTAAGATTGGTACCCTTGTCATTATCTATTTGAGTTCTTCAAAAGCAGTTTAATCAGTTTTATCTGATTTGAAGTTGTCTTTCTTGAGTAAAGCAGTTAGAGGATAAGTTGTTTTACTATAATTTCGTACAAACTTACTGTAATAATCAGTTAAAACTAGAAAGCCTATCAACCCTTTAATATCTGAAGGAAGTGGCCATGCAGTCATAGCTTGAAACTTTTTAGGATCTTCCTTGACCCCTTCTGTTGAAATTATATACCTAAGATACTCAAAGTGCTCCCTGCCAAATACACATTTATTCCTATTCACAAATAGCTATTGTTTGTGTAACAATTGCAGCACTTGTTTAACATTAACCAGATGCAGTGATTTGTTAAGATTGTATTTTAAAATATCATTAAAGAAAACCAATACAAACTTTCAAAGGTACAGTTTTAACACTTCATTCATTAGAGATTGAAAAGTTGAAGGAACATTTGATAGGCCATCCTCATAATGTCCTTTATGGGTTCGACAAGCTATTTTAGG